ATTAGACTTTAGGGACTTGATGGAGTTCGGGACCTCAAGTTCTGTAATAGGTGTTTCCAGGGAAGAACATTGAGAAGCTGAGAGTGTTGGTAGAGATAGGCTTGAGAAAAGTTCAGTGGCCTGCGATTCATCATAGGAGCCGGTCTCAGAGTATAATTCTGCTAGATGTTTGAGGAAGACCTGTAATATTTTATTAGGATGGCTGGTGTGTGAAGTTTTTGTAATCTTTAAATGGACAAGTCTGTGTGTGTGGTCTGAGGTTCACAGTCCCAGGGCTAGAAAAAGTGTCAGGTTTGTTTGCGTTCATATAATGTTTATGCCTGGATTGGCGTAGAACTTTTTCATCTGATTCTGTCAAGAAAAACATCTATTTCTAGCCTGGTCTTGTCCAGGACAATCTATGAGAAGGTGAGGGGTCTGATTGGAAGGCTTTGTTGGCCTGATGAAATGAGGTTTCTAAGCGGTGATGGATTGCTCGCTGTCCTTTCTTGAGATGTGAGGCTTGGCTGATACAGGCTCCTCTAATTACAGACTTATGGGCTTCCCAAAAGGTCAGGAGAGAGATGTCATCAGTTGTGTTATGTGTCAGGTATTCTTTGATGGCTAGTTCAATGTCCAGTCTGTGGGATGGGTGGGCCATTTAGACTCCATATAGTGCTAGTTTGTTGGGGTACTAAGGAGGAGAGGGTGAAGAGGACAGCTTTGTGACCAGTCCAGGGGTAAGGTATGATGGTTCAGGATAGGAGGGCTGGGGACATACCTCTAGTCAGAAATATATGGTCAATGTGGGAGAAAGTTTTATGTGGATATGAGTAGTATGTATAGTGTCTTCTAGCTGGGTTATCTTCTTGCCATGTGTCTATGAGAGAGCGTTGTTGGAGTTGTTGCTGGAAGGAGGATGTGGATGGATAAGAGGTTATGGGGGATTTGTCTAAAAAGGGATAAACTAGCCGATTGGAATTGCAACAAAGCATCGAACTATTTCACTCTTTTCGGCAGCAGAGAGATCCTTTTTCTTCCCCATATTGCTTGAATATGGGGATCTGCTTAACCCCTCGCCCTCCGGAGGATTTACCCCCCTTCCTGACCACGCCTCTTTTTGCTACTCAGCGCTGCACTAATTTAACTGACAACTGCGCGGTCGTGCAACGCTGCACCCCAAACAAAATTTACGTCCTTTTTTTTTACACAAATAGAGCTTTTAGTGTTATTTCATCACCTGTGCGCTTTTTTTTTCACGCTATAAACAAAAAAAATCAAACATTTTGAAGAAAAACGATATTTTGTACTTTCAGCTATAAAATATATAAAGTAACCTCAAAGTTAGTTATAAATTTCACCAAAATGTCTCCCCAGCTCCATGTTTATGGGAAAAGGACCCCAATAAGTGGATATTGATTGCTTTGTGTGACCGTTATATCGTCTGCAGACTATGGGGTAGATACTGCAATTTACGCCTTTTTGTTGCTATACAGCGCTGTGCTAGTTTAACGGACAATTGTGCGGTCATGCAACACTGCACCCAATTAAATTTACATCCTTTTTTCCCACAAATTGAGCTTTCTTTCGGTGGTATTTGATTGCCTGTGCAGTTTTTATTTTTTGCACTATAAAAAAAAGTCTGACAATTTTGAAAAAAAAAAAAAAACCAATATTTTGGACTTTTTGCTATAAAACATGTCCAGTAAAAAAATGTAAAAATCAAATTTAGTCATAAATTTCGGCTAAAATGCATTCTGCGACATGTCTTTGCTAAAAGAAATCCCAATACGTGTAAATTAATTGGTTTACGTGAAAGTTATAGCGTCTACAAATGGCGGGAAAGATCCTGGGATTTTTTTTTATTATTAATTACTTATGGCGTGATCAGCGAACAGTGATCAGCGACTTATGGTCGGTGATCAGTGATTTATGACAGTGATCAGCGACTTTATGGCGGTGATCAGTGATTTATGACAGTGAACAGCGACTTAGCGGTGATCAGCGATTTATGACAGTGAACAGCGGTTATGGCGGTGATCAGCGATTTATGACAGTGATCAGTGACTTATGGCGGTGAACAGCGATTTATGACAGTGATCAGCGACTTATGGCGGTGATCAGCGATTTATGACAGTGATCAGCGACTTATGGCGGTGATCAGCGATTTATGACAGTGATCGGCGACTTATGGATTTATGACAGTGATCGGCGACTTATGGCGGTGATCAGCGATTTATGATAGTGATCAGCGATTATGGCGGTGATCAGCGATTTATGACAGTGATCGGCGACTTATGGTGGTGATCAGCGATTTATGACAGTGATCAGCAGCGGTGATCAGCGATTTATGACAGTGATCAGCGACTTATGGCGGTGATCAGCGATTTATGACAGTGAACAGCGACTTATGGCGGTGATCAGCGATTTATGACAGTGATCAGCGACTTATGGCGGTGATCAGCGATTTATGACAGTGATCGGTGACTTATGGTGGTGATCAGCGATTTATGACAGTGATCAGCGACTTATGGCGGTGATCAGCGATTTATGACAGTGAACAGCGACTTATGACAGTGAACAGCGATTTATGACAGTGATCAGCGACTTATGGCGGTGATCAGCGATTTATGACAGTGATCAGCGACTTATGGCGGTGATCAGCGATTTATGACAGATTTGAACAGCGACTTATGACAGTGATCAGCGATTTATGACAGTGACAGCGACTTATGGCGGGTGATCAGCGATTTATGACAGTGATCAGCGACTTATGGCGGTGATCAGCGATTTATGACAGTGATCAGCGAGCGATTTATGACAGTGATCAGGACTTATGGCGGTGATCAGCGATTTATATGACAGTGATCAGCGACTTATGATGGGACTGCGGCGGACATTGTGACACTGGGGGGGAACTGACTTGGGGTTACTGACATCCTCAGTGACACCAATACAGTGATGAGTCCAAAAAAAAAAAAAACCCTGCCACTACTAATGGCACTGGGGAGGAAGGGGTTCCTTTTTTATTCAGTGAAAGGGTTAACTGTGTGAGGGGAGTGTTTTACTAGGGGGCAGGGGGGGGGTGTGTACTGCACAGGGACTCGCTGATCCCGGAGAGATAAAGTCTTCTCTCAGGATCAGCCTGCTCTGAACTGACAGATGACAGAGCTGCAATGTAAATACTGCCGCCGTGCTATCTGTCAGTGATTACCGGTAATCGCGGGGATCAGCGGCGGGTAATGACCGGCTGGGATCCGGTGATGGCCTCCCGCTGCCTCCATCAACGGGACGGGTAGGGCGGGCACGCGCCTTGCGCGCCCCCTACCTGTTTTGCACAGCAATGTTAAAAGACAGGTGCCGCCATGTCACAGTAAAAACACTGCGGCGGGTGACAAGCGGGTAATAATGGGGAACGCCGTCCTTTAGTAGTTTTTCCTTCAGTTGGGCTCACCGGCCAATCTAATTATCTCCGGTGTCCCAGATTGTTTTCAGTGATCAAAAGAGCCCTGACACACAATGCCATCCATGAGTTACACTGAAAAACAAAAGATTTCATCTTTGTGACACTTAAATAGAGTTTGCAGAATAATGTGGAACGCGATGTAGATGGTGCCGGTCCAAATATTATTATTATTATACAGGATTTATATGCGGCAGAAGGTTTGCTCAGCGCTGTACATTATAGTGGGGACAGAACATGAGACAATACAGTAACAATACAATACACGAGGGGTGCGAGGGCCCTGATCCTGGGAGCTTACAATCTAGGAGGGAGGGGGGGTAGTGGTACAGGAGGAATAGCTGTGGGGGATGGAATGGAGTGAGGAGTGGAGGAGATTGGCTGTTAGGTGAGGGCGGGGTAAGCTTCCCTGAAGAGATGGGTTTTCAGGGTGCGCCTAAAGGTGAGGAGGGTAGGTGACAGTCTGATGGATTGGGGTACGGAGTTCCATAGGATGGGGGAAGTCGTGGAGAAGTCCTGCAGTCGGGGGTGTGGGAGGTGGAGACCAGGGAGCTAGAAAGTAGGAGAGCTAATCCCCTTGTGCACCCCATAGGGGGCAGACAACACGTGACGTATGACTTGTATAGATGGTGCAGATATAAACACACTACAATACGTCATGTTGGTGAATAATAGACCGTCCACTTCAAGCAAACAACTGTGAGCCTTTGAAAAACGTGGAAGTGCCACTGGTGCCACAATCCTATAATGGTCGGAGTGCCTCCTCCCCGCACTGACCACAAGGGCCAATGTGCCTTGTTTTACATAGGATGTATCCCTCAGGAGCCAACCGGTCTACAGGTCCACAGTTGATACCAGATCAAAAACGCTGTCATCCAAAGGAACACCTCCAGCCGCTGTATGATGGTGACTCCTTACTACCAGGTAATGCTCAGAGACACAAACAGAGAGAGATCTCCCCGAGCGCAATACAGAAAAAAATAATATTTAAAATGCCCACTCACATATCCACAGATGATTTATCGCATGATATACACCCTCATGGTGTCCTTAGGTTGTGGGTATATCTGGAGTCCCAATATGGCGCGTACGTCAGAAGTGACGTCACCGCGTACCGCAAATGTCATCAAGGCGGACCAACAACGCGTTGCGTCACCTATAACACGTGACTTCATCAGGGTAACCGCCCATAATGACATACGTACTTTATATAGGCCACCAGGGTGTCAATCATCCAACAGGACAACCCACGGAGTCCATTTTCTCGAAGCCCAATATTCGGTACTTAATGCAGATGTACGATGCACCTTGGGCAGTCATACGTGGACCAGATACATACAAATACATCTCCTAACTATATCATGCATGATTCAAACAGATCACATAAAATGAATAAATAAATACATAGACGGGACCAAAAAAACCCATATGCAGCCAACTCTTATGTGAATACTCCATAATATACCTGTACATAATGCCCCTAATGACGCATTATACCCACTAAGAGTTCAGAACAGAACACAACATATGTTAGGAGTTTGAATTTGATGCTTTGGGCAATCGGGAGCCAGTGGAGGGAATGACAGAGGGGGGTGGAGTCAGTGGAGGGAATGACAGAGGGGGGTGGAGCCAGTGGAGGGAATGACAGAGGGGGTGGAGTCAGTGGAGGGATGGCCAGAGAGGGGTGGAGGACACTGAGTGGAGGTCAGTGGAGGGATTGGTTGGAGAGAGGGGTGGAGGACACTAAGTGGAGGCCAGTGGAGGGAATAACAGAGGGGGGTGGAACACACTGAGTGGAGGCCAGCGGAGGGAATGACAGATAGGGGGTGGAGGACACTGAGTGGGGGACAGTGGTGGAGGAATGACAGTGGGGGGGTGGAGGACACTGAGTGGGGGACAGTGGAGGGAATGACAGAGGGGGGTGGAGGACACAGTGGGGGAGGGGTGGGAATGACAGAGGGGGGTGGAGGGACACTGAGTGGAGGCCAGTGGAGGGATTTCCATGCAGAGAGGGGTGGAGGACACTGAGTGGAGGCCAGTGGAGGTATTGGCAGAGGGGGGTGGAGGACACTGAGTGGAGGCCAGTGGAGGGAATGACAGAGGGGGGTGGAGGACACTGAGTGGAGGCCAGGGGGTGGAGGACACTGTGATTGGGGGGCCAGTGGAGAATAACAGAGGGGGGTGGAGGACACTGAGTGGAGGCCAGCGGAGGGAATGACAGAGGGGGGGGGTGGACACTGAGTGGAGGCCAGTGTGAAGGGATTGGCAGAGGGGGGGTGGAGGACACTGAGTGGAGGCCAGTGGAGGGAATGACAGAGGGGGGTGGGAGTGGAGGAAATGACAGAGGGGGGTGGAGGACACTGAATGGAGGCCAGTGGAGGAGAATGAAGAGGGGGGTGGAGGAGGACACTGAGTGGAGGAGTGGAGGCCATACAGAGGGGGGGAATGACAGAACCAGGGGGGGTGGAGGACACTGAGTGGAGGCCAGTGGGAGGGAGGGAATGACCCAGAGGGGGGTGGAGGACACTGAGTGGGGGGCCAGTGGAGGGAATGACAGAGGGGGTGGAGGACACTGAGTGAGGCCATGGGAAATGACAGAGGGGGGTGGAGGACACTGAGTGGAGGCCAGTGGAGGGAATGGCAGAGGGGGGTGGAGGGACACTGAGTGGGCCAGTGATGAGGGTGGGCAGAGAGGGGGTGGAGGACACTGAGTGGAGGCCAGTGGAGGGAATGACAGAGGGGGGTGAGGCCAGTGGAGGTAATGACAGAGAGGGGGAGGGGGAGGACACTGAATGGAGGCCAGTGGAGGGAAGGAGAGGGGGGTGGAGGACAGGGGAGGAGTGGAGGCCAGTGGAGGAGGGAATGACAGAGGGGGGTGGAGGCCAGTGGAGCTTGAGTGAGGGGGGCCAGTGGAGGGAATGACAGAGGGGGGTGGGGGCACTGAGTGGGAGGCCAGGGAGGGAATGGAGTGGAGGGGGGAGGAGGACACTGAGTGGGAGACCAGTGAAATGAGGGATGGGACAGAGAGGGGTTGGAGGACAGAGGAATGGAGGGAGGAGTGGAGGGATGGAGGCAGCGAGGGGGTGGAGGACACTGAGTGGAGGCCAATGGAGGGAATGACAGAGGGGGGGGGGTGGAGGACACTGAGTGGAGGTCAGTGGAGGGGATTGGCAGAGGGGGGTGGAGGACACTGGAGTGGAGGCCAGTGGAGGGAATGACAGAGGGGGGTGGAGGACACTGAGTGGAGGCCAGTGGGGGGAATGACAGAGGGGGGGTGGCAGAAGAGGAGCGGTATGGTGAGGGTGGATGAGTCTGGCCGCTGAGTTGGAGGATAGACTGAAGGGGGATAGTCTGTGATAAGGGAGGCTGGTGAGGAGGGAGGTCGGTGAGGGGGGAGGCCCGGTGAGGAGGGAGGTCGGTGAGGAGGAGGGGGTGGAGCAGGATGGCCGGTGAGTGGAGGGAGCCGGTGAGGAGGGAGGAGGGGGGCTGGGGGGAGGAGGGCCGGTGAGGAGGGGAGGAGTGAGGAGGGAGGTCGGTGATGGGGGAGGTCGGTGAGGAGGGGGAGGTCGGTGGTGAGGATGGCCGGTGAGTGAGGAGGGAGGCCGGGAGGGAGGAGGGAGGCGGTGAGGAGGGAGGCCGGTGAGGGGAGGAAGGTCGGTGGGCAGGATGGATGGTGAGGAGAAGGAGGCCGGTGAGGAGGGAGGGCGGTGAGGGGGGAGGCCGGTGAGGAGGGAGGTCGGTGATGAGGGAGGCCGGTGAGATGGAGGAATGGTCCCGGGGGGGGAGGCCGGTGAGGTGAGGGAGGCAGGTGATGAGGGAGGCCGGGGGAGGAGGGAGGCCGGTACATGAGGGAGGCCAGGGGAGTGAGGGAGATCCGGTGATGAGGGGGGGGATCACCGGTGATGAGGGAGGTCCGGTGAGGGGGAGGCCGGTGAGGAGGGAGGCCGGTGAGGAGGGAGGCCGGTGAGGAGGGAGTTGCAGTAGTCCAGACGTGAGATAATAAGGGAGAAGCTGGAAAGTATAAATGCTGGAAAAAAAATCTGCAAAAAAAAAAAAATGTATTGTGAGCTCCGGGAACAAGAAATGTACCATGACAAGCAACGTGTGTGACCAGTACATTGCAACTGAAGAAGTGAGACCACACAACACATAGCTGGGGGACCATCAACAAGTTGTGTGTATCCAGAAATGAATGGAACAATGATCCCCGGGGGGGGGGGGGGGATCACCCGTACATGAGGTGTGGATCCAGAAATGAAATGGAACAATGATCCGGGGGGGGGGGGATCACCCGTACATGAGGGTGTGGATCCAGAAATGAAATGGAACAATGATCCCGGGGGGGGGGGGGATCACCCGTACATGAGGTGTGGATCCAGAAATGAAATGGAACAATGATCCCGGGGGGGGGGGGGGGGGGATCACCCGTACATGAGGTGTGGATCCAGAAATGAAATGGAACAATGATCCCGGGGGGGGGGATCACCCGTACATGAGGTGTGGGGGGGGGGGGGGATCACCCGTACATGAGGTGTGGATCCAGAAATGAAATGGAAACATGATCCCAGGGGGGGGGGGGGGATCACCCGTACATGAGGTGTGGATCCAGAAATGAAATGGAACAATGATCCCGGGGGGGGGGGGGGGATCACCCGTACATGAGGTGTGGATCCAGAAATGAAATGGAACAATGATCCGGGGGGGGGGGGGGGGATCACCCGTACATGAGGTGTGGATCCAGAAATGAAATGGAACAATGATCCCGGGGGGGGGGGGGGGGGATCACCCGTACATGAGGTGTGGATCCAGAAATGAAATGGAACAATGATCCCGGGGGGGGGGGGGGATCACCCGTACATGAGGTGTGGATCCAGAAATGAAATGGAACAATGATCCGGGGGGGGGGGGGAACAATGGGGATCACCCCCGTACATGAGGTGTGGATCCAGAAATGAAATGGAACAATGATCCCGGGGGGGGGGGGGATCACCCGTACATGAGGTGTGGATCCAGAAATGAAATGGAACAATGATCCCGGGGGGGGGGGGGGATCACCCGTACATGAGGTGTGGATCCAGAAATGAAATGGAACAATGATCCCGGGGGGGGGGGGGGGGATCACCCGTACATGAGGTGTGGATCCAGAAATGAAATGGAACAATGATCCCGGGGGGGGGGATCACCCGTACATGAGGTGTGGATCCAGAAATGAAATGGAACAATGATCCCGGGGGGGGGGGATCACCCGTACATGGGAGGTAGGTGATCTGTGTATGGGGGGGAGGTAGGTGATGTGTGGGGGGGGAGGTAGGTGATCTGTGTGTGGGGAGGAGGTAGGTGATGGGTATGTACAGGAGGGGGGGAGGGAGGTATGACAGTGATGGGGTATGTAGGTGGATCAGTGTGTGGAGGTATGACAGTGATCGGTATGTACAGGAGAGGAGTACGGAGGTATGACAGTGATCGGTATGTGAGTGTGGAGGTATGACAGTGATCGGTATGTACAGGAGGTATGGAGGTATGACAGTGATCGGTATGTACAGGAGAGGAGTACGGAGGTATGACAGTGATCGGTATGTACAGGAGGTGTGGGGAGGTATGACAGTGATCGGTATGTACAGGAGAGGAGTGTGGAGGTATGACAGTGATCGGTATGTACAGGAGAGGAGTACGGAGGTATGACAGTGATCGGTATGTACAGGAGAGGAGTACGGAGGTATGACAGTGATGGGTATGTACAGGAGAGGAGTACGGAGGTATGACAGTGATGGGTATGTACAGGAGAGGAGTACGGAGGTATGACAGTGATCGGTATGTACAGGAGAGGAGTACGGAGGTATGACAGTGATGGGTATGTACAGGAGAGGAGTGTGGAGGTATGACAGTGATCGGTATGTACAGGAGAGGAGTGTGGAGGTATGACAGTGATCGGTATGTACAGGAGAGGAGTGTGGAGGTATGACAGTGATGGGTATGTACAGGAGAGGAGTGTGGAGGTATGACAGTGACGGTATGTACAGGAGAGAGGAGTGTGGAGGTATGACAGTGATCGGTATGTACAGGAGAGGAGTGTGGAGGTATGACAGTGATCGGTATGTACAGGAGAGGAGTGTGGAGGTATGACAGTGATGGGTATGTACAGGAGAGGGGTGTGGGGGATGGTGATGACAGTGATCGGGTATGTACGGTATGAGGAGGAGTGTGGGTATGACAGTGATCGGTATGTACAGGAGTGAGTGTACGGGTATGACAGTGATGGGTATGTACAGGAGGGAGTGTGGAGGTATGACAGTGATCGGTATGTACAGGAGAGGAGTACGGAGGTATGACAGTGATGGGTATGTACAGGAGAGGAGTGTGGAGGTATGACAGTGATCGGTATGTACAGGAGAGGAGTGTGGGGAGGTATGACAGTGATGGGTATGTACAGGAGAGGAGTACGGAGGTATGACAGTGATGGGTATGTACAGGAGAGGAGAGGGGGAGGTATGGAGGTATGACAGTGATCGGTATGTACAGAGAGGAGGAGTGGTATGACAGTGATCGGTATGTACAGGATGAGGTATGACAGTGATCGGTATGTACAGGAGAGGAGTGTGGGAGGTATGACAGTGATCGGTATGTACAGGAGAGGAGTGTGGAGGTATGACAGTGATCGGTATGTACAGGAGAGGAGTGTGGAGGTATGACAGTGATCGGTATGTACAGGAGAGGAGTGTGGAGGTATGACAGTGATCGGTATGTACAGGAGAGGAGTGTGGGAGGTATGACAGTGATGGGTATGTACAGGAGAGAGAGTGTGGAGGTATGACAGTGATCGGTATGTACAGGAGAGGAGTGTGGGGGTATGACAGTGATCGGTATGTACAGGAGAGGAGTGTGGAGGTATGACAGTGATCGGTATGTACAGGAGAGGAGTGTGGAGGTATGACAGTGATATGGGTATGTACAGGAGAGGAGTACGGAGGTATGACAGTGATCGGTATGTACAGAGAGGAGAGGAGGTATGACAGTGATCGGTATGTATGACAGTGATCGGTATGTACAGTGAGGAGATGGAGAGGAGTGTGGGGGGGTATGACAGTGATCGGTATGTACAGGAGAGGGAGTGTGGGAGGTATGACAGTGATCGGTATGTACAGGAGAGGAGTGGGAGGTATGACAGTGATCGGTATGTACAGGAGAGGAGTGGGGAGGTATGACAGTGATCGGTATGTACAGGAGAGGAGTGTGGAGGTATGACAGTGATCGGTATGTACAGGAGAGGAGTGTGGAGGTATGACAGTGGGTATGTACAGGAGAGGAGTGGAGGTATGACAGTGATCGGTATGTACAGGAGGAGAGGAGTACGGAGGTATGACAGTGATCGGTATGACAGGTATGTACAGGAGAGGAGGAGGTATGGTGGGGTATGACAGTGATCGGTATGTACAGGAGAGGAGTGTGGGAGGTATGACAGTGATCGGGTATGTACAGGAGAGGAGTGTGGAGGTATGACAGTGATCGGTATGTACAGGAGAGGAGTACGGAGGTATGACAGTGATCGGTATGTACAGGAGAGGAGTGGGGAGGTATGACAGTGATCGGTATGTACAGGAGAGGAGAGTGGGGTATGACAGTGATCGGTATGTACAGGAGAGGAGTGGGGTATGGGTATGACAGTGATCGGTATGTACAGGAGAGGAGTGTGGAGGGAGGTATGACAGTGATCGGTATGTACAGGAGAGGATGGGAGGTATGACAGTGATGGGTATGTACAGGAGAGGAGTACGGAGGTATGACAGTGATCGGTATGTACAGGAGAGGAGTACGGAGGTATGACAGTGATGGGTATGTACAGGAGAGGAGTACGGAGGTATGACAGTGATCGGTATGTACAGGAGAGGAGTGGGGAGGTATGACAGTGATCGGTATGTACAGGAGAGGAGTACGGAGGTATGACAGTGATCGGTATGTACAGGAGAGGAGTACGGAGGTATGACAGTGATCGGTATGTACAGGAGAGGAGTACGGAGGTATGACAGTGATCGGTATGTACAGGAGAGGAGTATGGGGGGTATGACAGTGATCGGTATGTACAGGAATGAATCAGATGATGGGGCAGGGAGGGTGATCGGCACGGTGGGGCAGCAATTACTGAACCGATCCCCTGTACGGCTCTCTCTGCAGCAGCTGAAAGTCGGCTTCTTTCTCCTCTCTCTGTACGGGATTTCAGCTGCAGATAGAGCTATACAAGGGATCAGTTCCAGTAATTGCCCCTCCCCCTTTGCCCCACCACCACACCCATCACCTTCCCTGTGCACCATATGTTTCCTTTTGCTGCCCGGGGCCCCCCACCGCTGCAGTACTTCCGGCTTCCCTCCTCTGCTTCCCTCCCACAGCTAAGAGCACAGGTCCTCTAAATATGTCACACTTACCAGCCCCTTATTTTCCTGAATGAACAGAATGATTGATCAGTACTGAGCACTCACTGTGTTCATTCCTAACTAAATCATATTAAACTTTTTTTTGGGGGGGGGGGCCCTATCAGATTGGCTGTATGGGGCCCTGTTGTTTGTAACATCTTCCCTGTTCATACCCTCCACTTGATTCTCCATCTCCTCAATGTGAAGGAAATAGAAGTACAAGTGGAGGCAGTACAAAGCCCCGGGGAGGAGATTGGTCAGGAAGGGTCTCTGCTCCACCATAACCCTGAATTCTCGGAGTGTCAGGACCCAGCTTCATACCCTCTTGCTCCTCTATCCCCTCAACCCGGAGGAAGTAGAAGTACAAGTGGAGCCAAAGCAATGGCTCCAGGAAGGAGTATCAGCATTCTGATGACATTTCTGGGTCTACGCTCCACCATAACTCTGGTTCTCGGAGTGTCAGGTCCCAGCGGGTTCTCCTGGTGTCTCTCCTGTTATTCTGTCTCGGACACATCAGAGGAACATGGTGGGAGATCGGCCTGAATGTCCTTCCTAGGAGGGAATACCGGAGCCATTCTGAGGCCCAAATGATGGCCGGCAATGAGGAGGAAACCAACACTGAGAAGTAGATTGTGATGCCGGATTTACTGAAATCCTAGATCAGCAGTTTAGTTCCTCCAACATTTGGAGAACGTGGTGACCCTCTTTATCACTTACAGACAGAGAGAGAAAGACAAATGCCGGCCATAGGGGTCGAAAATCGGCCGATTTTTTTTTGGCAAAAAAAAAAAAAAAAAAAAAAATCGGGATTTTTGCACTGTTAGTGGTTAATTGGTCGGCCATTTTTTTGGGGGTTTTTGCACAGTTTTTTTATTGGTCATGTTGGAAAAGTTGTGGCCGATATGGACAATCGGACCGATTTTCCTGGCAATAATGGGAAGAAGAAAAAAAAGAAAAGAAGAAGAAGAAGAAGAAAAAGGAAGAAGAAGGAAGATGAAGAAGAAGACGATTGCAGACTGTCACATCTAGAAGAGGACATTTTATTCTGCTAAAGTGAATGGATCATCGGAATGGGAGACACCTGAATCCTTCCTATGAACTGGAAGTCCAGTCCGCGATTATATTTTATATGGAAAAAGTCTTGCGGTTGCAACAAATGTATCCATTTGTATCCAAAAAAAATATAAAGTATTTGCATTGCTGTCACATGTATGTATGGTGTGCTCCTCTGTTCTCTGGTTTCTTGTCCCATTCTTTCGTGACCATTGGTGGCAGCATCCATGGCGGCAACGACCAATTATTTTTTTATTGGCCGACAATTCAGCCCGATAAATGACCTGTCTATGGCCTGCTAAAGTGATCGGGTCTACAGCACTAGGATGCCACACACTGCTGACACCATACCGGTCCCGGCAGCCATCTTGGATCCCCATACTGGTCAGTGATTTCTGTTCATTCATTTATCTGGCTAATAAAGCCCCCTCTGTTCATACGGTATCACGCTATGGACCTCCTTTTTTCCTGAGCTCCTTTGAGCTCCCACTATCTACAGAGGAGGTGAGCCATCCAGGGATGGCTGATGTCGATTCCAGAGGGACACCAGATCTGACCAGACCTTTAAAGGGGATACCCTGTTACTTTGAGATTGATATCTCTAAATGCGCAGTGTGATTGCGCGTCTGGTGAGTGCGCAGTCTTTACACTTTCCCTTATCACCAACCATTTGGACCAGTCATTTGGATCGGAAGACCCATAGACACCTTATTATTTGGACTATACCTGACACCGTGCACATGGCGGGTCACTGATTAGTGACGCAATACACTTTTATGTATGTATTTGCACTATGTCACTTTCTCACTTGTTTTTTAGGATTGTTATTTTATATATTGATGTTTTATTATATTTAGAAGCTGTTTATTAGGCTTGACATATCATATGATGATGATGTTTAAGCACTACACCCTGCTATTATATTATTAAGGAATAGGAACCTGACTTACCTATGTGGTCTGAAGTGGAGGAGATCCCATGCTGGTGGCCGTGTGTATAAGATGGAGACGGAGAACCTGTTTGACTGGTTGGAACCAGCTGTAAAATGTCCGAAAACAGGGAAGTGTTTCATGTACAGGATGTAGCATTTCGTACATCTCACACTGGGATTTCCTGGGTTGGGTCTCATAATGAGGAACATGAAAATAACTGATGAATACAGAGGGTGCAGTATGGAGAGCAGAGACTACACCGTGTTCCAAATGATTCTGCAAATGATATTTCCTCATTTCCCTCAATAATTGATGTAAATATCAGTCGGCAGAATTCTCAGGTTATCAGCTATGAAGAGGACAATTCACATTTTATTGAACAAACCTCCTAATGATAACAGGATTTGTGTTCCGGATTATTCCGCACAGGAAGTTTCCAAACACTTTCTAGGTTGTAAAGAACTGAAAATTGTCATTTTTGTTGTTTGCAGCAGATTTACTGAAATCAAAAGCTTTTCAATCAAACTTTTCCCAACATTGTAACTTTGTAAACATTTGAAGCGGTCACGTTACATTGTAACATAGGAGCCCTTATCTGATAGCAGATCACAAGTCTGGCATCCATTGAACTTGGGCAGTTTTTGGACAGTTTCTGCTTGAATTTGTTTGCAAGATGTCAGAATAGCCTCCCAGAGCTGCTGTTTGGATGTAAACTGCCTCCCACCCTCATAGATCTTTTGCTTGAGGATGCTCCAAAGGTTCTCTCAATAGGATTGAGGTCAGGGGAGGATGGAGGCCACACCATGACTTTCTCTCCTTTTATCCCCATAGCAGCCATTGATGCAGAGGTATTCTTTGCAGCATGAGATGGTGCATTGTCATGCATGAAGATGATTTTATTACGGAAAGCATAGTTCTTCCTTCTGTACCAGGGAAGAAAGTGGTCAGTCATAAACTCCACATACTTTGCAGAGGTCATCTTTACACCTTCGGGGACCCTAAAGGGGCCGACCAGCTCTGTTCCCATGATTCCAGCCCAAAACATGACTCCACCACCGCCTTGCTGACGTCGCAGCCTTGTTGGAACAGGGTGGCCGTCCACCAACCATCCACTACTCCATCCATCTGGACCATCCAGGGTTGCACGGCACTCATCAGTGAACAGGACTGCTTGAAAATGAGTCTTCATGTATTTTTCTGCCCAATGCAGCCGTTTCTGCTTGTGAGCATTGGTTAGTGGTGGCCGAATAGAAGGTTTATGCACAGTTGCAGGACTCTGGAGGACTCTACACCTTGATGTCCGTGGGACTCCAGAGAGGCACCAGCAGCTTCAAATATCTGTTTGCTGCTATGTAATGGGATTTTAGCAGCTGCTCTCTTGATCCGATGCATGGATCTGGCAGAAATCTTCCTCAATGTGCCTTTATCTGCACCAACCCGTCTGTGCTCTGAATCAGCCACAAATCTCTTCATAGTGCGATGATCACGCTTACGTTTTCCTGAAATATCGAATGTTTTCATCCCTCGTCCAAGGCATCAAACTATTTCACTCTTTTCGGCAGCAGAGAGATCCTTTTTCTTCCCCATATTGCTTGAAAATGGGGATCTGCTTAACCCCTCCCCCTCCGGAGGATTTACCCCCCTTTCCTGACCACGCCTCTTTTTGCTACTCAGCGCTGCACTAATTCAACTGACAATTGCGCGGTCGTGCAATGCTGCACCCAAACAAAATTTACATCCTTTTTTTTCACACAAATAGAGCTTTCTTTCGGTGTTATTTGATCACCTGTGCGCTTTTTATTTTTCACGCTATAAACAAAAAAAAGAAAAAAAATTTTGAAGAAAAACAATATTTTTTACTTTCAGCTATAAAATATATAAAGTAACCTCAAAGTTAGTTATAAATTTCACCAAAATGTCTCCCGCTCCATGTTTATGGGAAAAGGACCCCAATAAGTGGATATTGATTGCTTGTGTGTGACCGTTATATCGTCTGCAGACTATGGGAGAGATACTGCAATTTACCATTTTTTTTTGCTATACAGCGCTGTGCTAGTTTAACGGACAATTGCGCGGTCATGCAACACTGCACCCAAATTAAATTTACATCCTTTTTTTCCCACAAATTGAGCTTTTTTTTTCGGTGGTATTCGATCGCCTGTGCGGTTTTTATTTTTTGCGCTATAAAAAAAAGTCTGACAATTTTCAAAAAAAAAAAAAAAAAAACAATATTTTGGACTTTTTGCTATAAAACATGTCCAGTAAAAAAAAT